AATCCTTTTAATGGACTGTTGGATCCTATTGGCTAGTACTTTGGTGAGAATTTTTGCATCCATGTTCATCAAGGATATTGGTCTGTAATTCTCCTTTTTGATGGGGTCTTTGTCTGGTTTGGGGATCAAGGTAATGGTGGCCTCATAAAACGAGTTTGGAAGTTTTCCTTCCATTTCTATTTTTTGGAACAGTTTCAGGAGAATAGGTATTAATTCTTGAAATGTTTGGTAGAATTCCCCTGGGAAGCCATCTGGCCCTGGGCTTTTGTTTCTTGGGAGATTTTTGATGACTGCTTCAACTTCCTTAGTGGTTATAGGTCTGTTCAGGTTTTCTATTTCTTCCTGGTTCAGTTTTAGTAGTTGATATGTCTCTAGGAATGCACCCATTTCTTCCAGGTTATCTAATTTGCTGGCATAGAGTTGCTCATAATATGTTCTTATAATTGTTTGTATTTCTTTGGTGTTGGTTGTGATCTCTCCTCTTTCATTCATGATTTTGTTGATTTGGGTCATTTCTCTTTTCTTTTTGATCAGTCTGGCCAGGGGTTTATCAATCTTGTTAATTCTTTCAAAGAACCAGCTCCTAGTTTCGTTGATTTGTTCTTTTGGTTTCTAGTTCATTGATTTCTGCTCTGATCTTTATTATTTCTCTTCTCCCGCTGGGTTTAGGCTTTCTTTGCTGTTTTTTTCTATAGCTCCTTTAGGTGTAGGGTTAGGTTGTGTATTTGAGACCTTTCTTGTTTCTTGAGAAAGGCTTGTATTGCTATATACTTTCCTCTTAGGACTGCCTTTGCTGCATCCCAAAGATTTTGAACAGTTGTGTTTTCATTTTCATTTGTTTCCATGAATTTTTAAAATTCTTTAATTTCCTGGTTGACCCATTCATTCTTTAGTAGGATGCTCTTTAGCCTCCATGTATTTGAGTTCTTTCCGCCTTTCCTATTGTGATTTGAGTTCTAGTTTCAAAGCATTGTGGTCAGACTTAGTTTTTGATGACCTTGAAAGTTTTGAGTTATTCAGTCAGGTATTTTGTAGAATGGACCTTAATTTGGATTTGTCTGATGTTTTTATCATAGTTTGACCGGGTTTATGTAATTTTTTGGGGGGGCGTTGGGAACCACAGAAGTATAGGCTATTCTTATCACATCATATCAAGGTTATGTGCTAGCAACATGATATATCACTAATAATATTAATACTGATCACCTGGTCAAGGTTGTGTTTGCCAGATTTCTACAGTGTAAAACTAATTTCCCTCCCTCTTTCTGTACTCTACTCTTTGGAAGCAAGTTACTAAGCACAACCCATACTCAAGAAGAGTGGAAGGAGTTAAGCTCCCTCTCCTGGAAGGGGAATATCTACATAAATTATTTGGAATTTTCTGTTATGGAGATCTGTCTCTTGTCTTTTATGCATTTATGTGATCACTTATGTTAGTAATAGCCATTTCTTTAAGGAGATCAATTTTATCACAAAAATAACCATTCTATGTCCCTAAGATGATATGATAGAAAGCATATCACACCATGTAGGGAATATTCTTGCTTCCCTCATCTCCTCAAAGAAAAACTGAACTTTAACCTATCAAGGCTCAAAAGCTAATTAACAATTTATAGGAAATCCTATAAGGATGTAACCTCAAGATCCCCTAGTAACCAATCGATCTCTCAGGACGTGAAGTCTTAGATAGCAACTGAGACTTGTGAGAGAAATGAAGAATCCTAAACCTATATAAATCCCTGGATCCAGTCAACTATAAGGCCAGCTCTTTCCCTATCCTTCCTGGTTCGTTATACCACCCAAACAAGCATCTCTTTCTTGCTTATGTTGGATTGATTTGGGCTTCTCTTACTTACAACATAAGAGGGTTAACAAATATAATAAACACAAATAAGGAAAGGCATGGGAATGAAAATGAGTTCAGGACGTTGAGGGGTAGGAAACAGGTTGAGTTGCTTAGAAAAGCCAGATTTTAGGTGAGATTTTTAAAAAGTAGGTAGAATTTATTTGCTTTTAAAATTTAATGGGCTATTATTGCTGTTCTCTGTGTCTTGGTAGTGTTAACTATAGGGTTCAATTTTTAGCATATAATATTTAATTGCACACTGACCATTTATCATAATTTTAGAAATCAACAGAGTCAATCTTACCTTTCAGCTAATATAATGAGGACCTAAATGAATAAATTATTCATCCAAGCTCATATATCTAAGGTAGACATGCAGGAAGCATTGTGCAAAAAAAGGAAATAGGGTATGGAGCCAGATAAGACTAGGTTTGTTCCCCCGTTCCCTCTCTCACCCAGTGCTTTTTATTTTTGATGTAATTTTTAAATACAGAGTACACAGACATAATAGAAAACTTCAAAAATTTACATTGTGAAAAGCAGCCTCTCTCCTATCCCAATAAGCCCTCCTCCCCCCACCCTTTGACAACCACTGTTACAACTTCTTGGGTACTCTTCTAGAGATAGTCTATTCAAGCATATTGAAGACTTGACCTTTTAGACTTTAAGACATATGATGATCACTAAAAATTTTAAAGCTATTGAATGGTACTAGAAGGACTGGGGCTGGGAAGGCAAGATAAAAGTGGAGCTAAAGAGGAAGCAGTACCTTTGAGATACTCCACCCTGCAGCACCAGTGTTTAAAAAGGCAACACGTGAAAATTAAAAACACCTTTAAGGATCAAATAATGCTCCTTAAAAGCCATGATCAGTTAAGGTTTCTAAGAGGAATATACAAGCACCTATTCTTTATTCATTCTGCTTATCTAGAATTCTTATGGGATGTTCTTGACTATACTGAAGAATGGATAGGGGACTGGTGTAGCAGTGGCAATGAACATTTCCTGGTCATTTAAAGAAGAAAAATTTTAAAAAAAATAAAAAAAATAAAGAAGAAAAATTAATTGTTCCCATCCTCTACTCCTGCAAATGTCAATTTTATTCTAATCATTTCAAGGTGAGAGAGATTACAAAGAAAGCACGGAGATTAATAACATAATCAAGATGGATGGAGAAAGAAAAAGTGGAATGATGAAATCAACCTGAGAACAAGTTTAGTTGGCAGTTAGAGGAATATACAGGAAGCTCAAGTACTTCTTATCACCTAGCAATAAAGTAAAAAAAAAAAAAAAAAAAAATCTTTTCTCTTTTGAATTTTATCCAGTAAATACCTGATTTAAGAAGGAATGGATGAGATGCATACTGTTCTTAACAGAGGTTAGGAATTTTAAAGTTCCCATGGGGGAAAAACATCTCTTGGCTTAAGTAACAAATCAGAGATGGAAAAATAAGTCAATTACTGAGCATACGTATGTAACAAAGACTTGTATACTTTTAGGAGTAGAAAGCATATCTCATTTTAGACTTGAAATCAGACATTTTTTTCAGATTTATTTCTGAACTCTCTGAAAAAGTTCTTCTAGATTCCTAGAGTAATAGCATAAATGCTACAACACTTAAATATTCAAGTCCCAACAAAGTAATACCTCTAATGAAATGGAACATAACTTTGGTATATTTTTAACAAGTATCAGGGATAATGTGAATTACATGTTCTTTTGACCAATTTCTTAAAGTAGTTATGTAGGATATAAATTATAATTAGACTGCATTTACGAAAGTAGAAAATGTCTTAATAATTAGGATCATTCAAAGTGAATTTTATTACATATCAAATTATTAACAGAAGACAATCAGAACACAGCTCTAGAACTATAATAAAAGACAAAATATATGCTGTGTTACCTACCTGTGCTTGTTTAAATACAACTTGGATTGAATATATTAAATACATGAGATCCTGTCAGTCTGAATTTTTTTTCCTCTTTCAAATCAGGAAAGAAGGAAAAGCATGAAACAGTTTATAAAAATTATTTTTCCCTCCACTAACAGTTGCTGGTAGTCTCTTAGGAATAGGGTGTACCATTTGTATCTGCTTTCTTATTTGCATAAACCTATCCTCCAAGTAAGTCAATGGATTAAAAAAATGGAATCAGTCCAAAAGTACATGTTTTCAGCTTCAAACATATAATGAATACTCAGACTATAGTTGTGGTCATTTAAATTTTAATCTAAAAAATGGTGACAGTGGTTTTTAAATAAAAAGAATTTCCACCATCCATTTTAACAAATCAATTTTGTGCTTGTGTGCATAGTTAAGGACTATAGTCACAGAGTTATTTAGATGTGGTTTCCTAGAGATGATTTCATTTTCCTGACCTGTCAAGCAAATACTTGAAACAACATCAAAACTGGTAAAAAACCATATAGGTATTACAAAGTGAAAACAAGGAACATCTCTGACCATTCAAAAAATCAACTGATGGAATTACTAACAAGAATATATACATAATAGTGAAACTTTCAAATTAGTAGTCAAAATAACTCCTAACATTTTATTAGTACCTTCTTCAATACTAGAAGATATTTTATAGTAGTACCTCCCAATTCTAAAAGATTTGTAGAGTCTGGTACTGGAGTCTTAAAAAAACAAAGTTATCAATAGCCCTAGGAAGTTATGTGTAGGGAGCACTACCCTCTAATGGTGAATGTTAAGAGTAGTATATGATCGATAGCTATAAACTATAGAATCACATCTTATCTCAAACCTTCCATAATTCCAAAATATCTTGAGACTTTGTTTCAGGATATCAGGATATTTTTAGTAAAGACTGGAGTGTTACACCACTTTTCCCTAAAATTTTAAGCTTACATGTGGTAAATCTTTGGTGTGGGTTAGGATACTAAATGAGGATACTAAAGCCAAATAATATACTTCCTTCATATTTCCTTCATGCAAATGGTATTTTTATTCCTCTGCAATATATTTTATATCCTTATAATAGCCAGATCGACAGGACTAAATTCATTCACAACAAATCTATGCGTTGTCCTTTAAATGGCTAGGTCTCAAAAAAGACTTACTGCCAAACAGTGAAGTATTATTTAAGAATAAGTGTTTTCTAGAATAAAGATGGTTACAATAACACTTACCTCAGTCTTTTTACTAATGTGATCTGTAAATGAAAAAAATGATGAAAATTCATTGAAAAAATTAACAATATTAATATTTTATTAGTATTAATAATTATTATACCCAATATGTAAAAATATTTAAAGTAATTGAGGAGAATTTTAAAATTATAATAAGAGTTACAGAAGTCATTTGGGGGTTATCTAAGATATCAGACTTCCCTCTCTAGGTATAAGATGTTAAATTTCAACATATAATTACTAATTTGCTCTGCTTAGGGGCTATATCTTATATCCCAGTAAATGCCACCCATACCACAGGGTATTATTAAATTTTAAACATTTGAACTAGGTCTTTGGTTTCACACAATTTGGGGGGGACAAAAAAGGGAGCAAGAATGTCTAAAATCAAATCACAGGGTACTATAACTGCAAAATTGTACAGAACACTGCCTTTGTGGAAAAAAATAAAAAGCAGAATAGTAATTTGTGTCCTTTAAACCCCTTAGTTTCTTTATTTTAAAAATATACATCATAGTGATTTGATAATACTATGAGAAATCTTAAAAATTGATGTATATTTACAAAATGAATAAAAGAAAGAAGGCAATAAGAAATATATCCAGATTAAGCAAATCATTGACTTAGTAACAACACAGCATTTCTGGAAAGTGATTACAGAATGAGGAAAAGGAAGACATAAGGAAATTCATACAGATACAAGATTGAAACTAAAGTACATAGAGGCAGTGAGTGTTCTTATTTAAATTAGAGATGACTGGGATATCTAATATTTAACATTGCTTCTTGTGCATAGAAGAAAATTTCTATTCTCAAAGACTAACAATAATTTAATAGAATAGCAATCATATGACTGAGAATTTAAAAGCTGGTCCAGCTCTCTAAAGCATCTGTTGATCAGAAAAGGGTCTGTAAGTATAATAAATGTCAAAATCACAAGTTTCAGCTCAAGCTACAAAATCTTAATTATTCCTAATTTCCTATTTATTTCTAACATCACAGCCATTCTTCTAGTGTCTAGCATACAATGTGATGCCAGAACCTGAGAAAGAATCATGACTGCTTTAATCATATCTTGAAATAGTCATCTACCTTCCCTTTAACAGTACCATATTGATGTCTTTCTTAATCCGTCTAATAAATTTACATAGTACTTATAATCAAACATATGAAAAATAAAGAAGTTTTAAAAAGCATTCTTTTCATGTTTCTGCCTAGTTTTTAATGAAATATATTTTATATAAAATCTTTCTTGCCAAAATTGAAAACACTAACATACATCTGTTCTTTTAACCTCAAATTAGAAACTTAGTAAGAGAGGAAGACTATAGGAAAAACCATCCTGATCCTTAAACCAAAGCAATATAATGCTCTAAATTTATTCCTGATTTCACAAATAGTCTTGCTTCCGAAAACAGTAAAGTATTTCATTGTGTTTTTTTTTAGATTATTGCTGTAGTATTAATCCTCACAGAACAAATGCCCAATATATTAATTCATATGAATCAAACAGATCACTCTCAATGAACAAACAACTGTTCATTTGTCAGCAACTATTCTGACTGGCATAAGCACAATGCTGTCCAAAAAAATTTTCTGTAATGATAGTCATGTTCCATACCTGTGGTATCTAATGTGGAAGCTACTAGTCACATGTAGTTACTGAGTATTTGAAATGTGGCTAATGCAACTAACGAATTTTTTTATTTTAGTTCATTTTAATCAGTTTATATTTAAATTGCCACACAGGAATAGTGGCTACCATATTTTACAGTATAGACTTAGGGTATTCATGATTCCCCACATCAAAAACAATGTAGTCTTCAAAAGTTTGGTGAATGGTGTAGTTTCCTTGTCTTCTCTGTTCAATAAAAAAATACAAATGATATTATACAGTTTTCTGGTAATAAGTCTCACTCTAAAAATTTGTATTTTAATTTTCTAAGGTGTAGTTCCAGATAATTTGAAGAGGTTGACCAATAATGGGTGAAATCTGAAAATACATTATTCCTGATCTAGTGCAAATCCATTCACTTTATGTATAAGGACAATAATCATGTTTTAAGATGACTCAAAAACTACAAATACAATTTTTATTTTCAGTGAGTTTTAGAAAATGGACAGATTCAGATACAAAAAGATGTATTTGTACTGAACTTTTATGGGGATTTAATGACTACTTTTAAACTACCCTCCAAATTGTTTCTTTCCAAACAGGTCTACATTTTTCACAATCTCAGTAACACATTAACAAAACAATTTTTACTTATTTTAAAAATTAGCAAGGAACTTAAAACTTAAGTATATAAAGACTTAAAATAGTCTCTCTAGCATAATAGATTTCGTACATACATTACCTTCAGATTGAAAATCTTTTAGTGATACTGTGAGAGGTTTGTCTTTTCCCTGATGATTCTTTCTTTTATCTTTTTTATTCATAACCTTTGACTGAGTTAAAGCATTTTCAGCATTTTCATACTCCTAAAAAGAATTACCACAAAAATTAAGCTTGATTTACACTGGTAAAAAATCAACATACTGTTATAGATAATATATTAGAATTTTATTTTTTGAAGGTAAACTGCAAACAAAAAGAAATCAATACTTGAAGCTAGCCAAATTGTATAAAAGGATAGCTCTTTTTTTTTTAAGAGAGAAAGCACACACACAGGTGGGGAGGGGCAAAAGGAAAGGGAGAGAGGGGATCTTAAGCAGGCTCCACTCTCAACAAGAGCCCAACACAGGGCTGGATCTCATGACCCTGAGACCATGACCTGAGCTGAAATCAAGAGTTGGACACTTAACTGACAGAGCCACCTAGGCACCCCAGGATAGCTGTTTTTTATTTATATACTCAATCTCTTGCCTCTTAAACATTGTGGTTTATAACCTCTCCTAGTTGCCACCTCTTCTTTATTTCGGGATCAAACTTAAGACAATCATCTATAGTCAATTTCCTTTCTCACCACCTCTGCCAAATCTGGCTTCTCCTGTTCTCTGCCACTATAATTAAGGTCAACCATCCCCACAATGCCATATCCAAAGACACTATTTTTTCAAACACCTCTTGGTTTTCTCAATACTCTGACTACTCTTTAGTCTCCTTCACTGGCTTCTCATTTCCAAACTCTTCTCACCATTATTCCATTCTTAAGCTATTCTTTTGCTTTATACCCATTGTTCCTCAAAGTTTAAAGTTCTACCTATACACTGATGATTTTTGTATGTACAAACAACGCACTGGACTGTTCAGTAAGCATCGCCAAACTAAATATGTTCACCCTGCCTTCCCTACTGGATCCTCCAGTGAGGACCTTGTTTAATGCCACCATCACCCACACAACTATGCAGACTAGAAACCTGCCTCACCTCTGTCTGCTCTTCCTACAGACTTTATATACAAATTAGTCACAAGGTCTTGTTGAGTTTATCTCCTTATATCTGTTCTCTTCAGACCTTCTGTCATTTCCTTATCTTCTTTGGCTGGACACTGCAACACCCTCTAATTTTAGCCCCTCAATCCATCTTCTACACGGCTATAGCATGAGTTTCTAAAATGAAAACGTGAAATCAATCTAAAAGTTAAAAATATTCAATAGTTCTCTGCCAAGAGATTTATAAAGCCCAATCTCCTTAGCCTGGGGCATGAGATTCTTTATATCCTGTCCTTCAGAAAGTATCTTTAGCAACTCCAAATCAAAGACACCAAACCCTTTCACATGCACATATCCTGTACATTTGCCACTCCTTCCCTGACAATCCCTACTTTCTCTGGCCTACACTGTGACCTTTTAATACACCTAGTAAGACTCCTCTTTGAGAATTCTTTCCTAAAATCCATCCCCATCAAAGGCAAAAAAATTCTTCCATATTTCTGAATTCCCATTGCACTGAGAACATTCATCTCTCAATGCTATACACAGTAATTATATGTATGTCTCCCTCCACTACACTCAAGGACTGGGACCATATCTTTATCTTTCTATTATGTGACTTGCATATTTTGGCTATTCAAAAAAATATTTGGCAAATGAGTAATAGAACAGAATAGAAAATGCCACCCCAAGGGCGCCTGGGTGGCTCAGTCAGTTAAGAATCCAGCTCTTGATTTTGACTCAGATCATGATTTCAGGGTTGTGAGATCGAGCCCCACATTGGGCTGTACACTCAGTGGAGAGTGTGCTTGAGATTCTTTCCCTCTGCCCCTCCCCTCCATGCACACACTCTCTCTCTAAAATAAATAAATCTTAAAAAAAAAAAAAAGAAAAAATGCCATCCCAAACTTTAGTTCCTAAAAAAACTCTTACAATAAAATAATTAGTTATTTTATTAGAATATTGACTTAAAACTCAATGACAACATTAATGCAATCACATCAAACCAACCATTGCATAAAACAGGAGTTCCTCCCTTCTCTGAAAGTCTTTATTGTCTGACAGAACCAATGCTTTTGGGTAGCAGGCCTACAGCCGTGCCAAGAAAACTGGCTGGGAGCATGATATTTTATCAGCACTATCTACTCTACTCCTCCTCTAAATATATAGCTAGTTCTTTTAGCTTTAGAATCTAGACATGTATCTCACAATAAATTATTATTATATGATAATATTCTATTTGATAAATTTTATCTCTGAAGTAAGCAAGTCAGGAGAACTTTTTTTTACACTTTTCCAGTGTAACTTGAAAGTCCATTTAAATAATTAAATAATAGGAAAGCTAGCTGTGTTCATTTTTCTAATTGTCAGCTTTGTATTTAAATGGGCAACTAACAATAAGGATCATAGTTATTCTTGATTATTCAGGATAATCAGACTAGGGACATGGAAAATGAAACTAACATATAATGTACGAAGTCTTTCTTCCTTTTCCCTTGAACTACAAGTAAAAAGCAAAATCATCTGCTCTAGATTTTAATTCCTCTCTTCCCTTCATCTTTAGTGAAGGAGCTAGGGTACAATGACATAGTCTAAAAGCCCTTAAGCATGACCAGGGTCATTTATGATCAAATACAATCACAAACTGAATACATTTTACAGACCAAAAAAATTTCCAATGCATGTAAAGGATTAAAATATCAAATCATATAAAAATAATAAATGCTCAATTTAAATATAGAAACTAGAAGCCAACACTACCTTTTACCTAAGTGTTCCTATAGTTTCAAGCTGTACAATGCACTTCAGCACATAACCCAATATCACAGTTCAGATAAAATTCAGAGTTCACAAGGCCAAAACATCAGAAATTGCCTCACATTTAATTGTTATATATCTCCAACAGAGAGTCCCTGTACTCATACTTATTTAAATTTTTAAATCTACTTATTTCCTGTGTTTATTTAAAATAAGTTAAAATAGGGCACCTGGGTGGCTCAATTGGTTGAGTGATTGCCTTCGGCTCAGGTCATGATCCTGGAGTCCAGGGATCGAGTCCCACATCGGGCTCCCTGCTCGGCGGGGAGTCTGCTTCTCCCTCTGACCCTCCCCCCTCTCATGCTCTCTCTCTCTCATTCTCTCTCTTTCTCAAATAAATAAAATCTTAAAAAAATAAAACAAAATGAGTTAAAATAAATCATCTGCTATTAATTTCATTTCCTCTCCTCCCTTCATCTTGGGTAGACTAATTTCTTAAGGAAACATTCCAAATCACCAAAGTTCAGTCTGTTGCCTCTCAAAACCTAGGGAGTAATCTTATTATAAAAACTTTGTAACCTGGGTGGCACAGTCAGTTGAGCATCTAACTCTTGGTTTCCACACGGGTCATGGTCTTGGGGTCATGGGATCGAGCCCCAATTTGGGCTCTGTGCTCAGCATAGAGTTTGCTTGGGACTCTCTCTCCCTCTGCTCCTCCTCCCCACCCCTGCTCTTTCTCAAATAAATAAATCTTTTAAAAAATTATTTTTAAAAAAACCTCATTATAGGGGCGCCTGGGTGGCTCAGTCATTAAGCGTCTGCCTTTGGCTCAGGTCATGATCCCAGGGTCCTGGGATCGAGACCCGCATCGGGCTCCCTGCTCTGCGGGAAGCCTGCTTCTCCCTCCCCACTCCCCCTGCTTGTGTTCCCTCTCCCACTGTCTCTGTCAAATAAATAAATAAAATCTTTAAAAAAAAAAAACCAAACCTCATAATATTTTGTTACAATGGTGAATTTTTAGGACAAGCTTTAATGGAGAACTTTTATACAAACTTCAGGAAGGTTGGTCCTAACCTCTGACCACTTAAACTTCTAAAATATCTAAATCAATAAATGTGTAAATACCTTTTTGTGTTCTTCATATTCTAATTTACTTAGCAACAATGCCTTCTCAAGATCTGCTTCAAACATTTCAGATGTCAGCTAAAACAAAAAGAAAGTTTCATAATTATGCCACACTAACTAAACAATCATGACAATATATACAGGAAAGGAAAACAAATACATTAAAAAACAATCTGGGTTCTCCAAATATATCTATCCATGCCAAAGTAGAGAACCCTGTATTTTACAGAAGATACCAAAGCAAACTCCCAATTTTGAGGTTTATATTTCCCTATTCACTGTCAATTATATATTGTACATCACATAATTTTTCTTTAGTAAGAGAAATTTTACAAAGAAATTGACACTGTATTAGAGGTCAATGATGGTATCCAGTTTAAGACACAGAAAATTGTAATAGTGATTACTACTCAAAAATGTAAGACTGAAAAATAACTCAATAAACATTATAAAACATACCATTCCCTAATATAAAGTAATCCACAGGTACAGAAACGTTAAATAAGGTGACCAAATGTTCTGGTATATCTCTGATGTTCAGAATAATTATTTATAGAGCACCTTTTTACCTCCATCCTTTTATTTGGTTGTCTTACCTTTAAGGTCATCTAATACTATAAAAAAATAATTCTTTAATTTGTGATCTATATCTTTTGGTTCCTCTTTCCCACCACTCAATATCATCTTAACTTCTTCTTACCTACAATCTAGCTCCTACTACCCTCTAATCAAATTATTCTCCAAAATTAGCAGAGAGAATTGCTATGGTAGGTGAATGAGACTTTGGTTTCCACCCCTGGAGATAAGGTTATGTCTGCAGCTGAATACAGGAGAACTGCAACATGACAGGAGTAAACTTCCTGGATTTGTGTACATGGATGTGTCAACTTATGTGGACTAGATAATAAAGGCACAAATTTAGTGGACATCTCTAGTGTTTGTCCAGAATCCCTTCCTTTATTCCTGTGAATAGCTATACTTCACTCCAATGTCCTGTGATTCTAGTAGGACAGTCAATCACATAACCCTATATACCACCCATCACCAAACCCACACAAACATCCGAGCTACCATCATTGGCGACAGGGTGGTGGCAAGGAATTCAACTCTTTTTTGATGTCCTAGGAATTAAACTTTGAGAACCAACACAAATCAAGTGGGGTTTGATCATCTGACACAACAGCCTCTATAAGTGAGCATACCAGTTATACCGATTCACGTCTCTAAGCACTCCAGAATTCTTAGTTTCCATCTCCCCCAAGGCACACTTGTTTAGTTCTTAATTCAAATCTGTGAATCCTTTCAACAAATGACTTTTGCCAATGGTAATTAGAATTATTTCTATTGCTTAATGACAAAACATCTAAATTAAAACAGAAACCGACTCCAAAAAGGACTTATATCCAAGGGATAACTTAAAAATTAGAAAAATGTTAACACTGGACACCATGAACTAAAGCTTTTATTCCTAACCAAGTTATCCCTTTGAAAGCACCTCATCTAAATCTACACTAAGACAACAAAAAGAAGGGGGAAAAGATTAGGTTTATCACAGAAGAAAAATTAATCTAACTCAGAGAAAAATGCTATTAGAATTAAAATGGTAAGTAAAGGTATATACACTAGAAAATATGGTTAAACCCAGAGTAAATTCTACATATTTCTATAAAACTAAAACAAACTGAAGAATTAATCCAAATTAGTAATAATCAGGAAAAAGTAATAACCTTTCAAATATTTATAATACAAAGGGATATTCAAAAACAATTACACAAAAAGTTTACATCGGGCGCATGGGTGGTGCAGTCAGTTGAGCGTCAGACTCTTCGTTTCAGCTCAGGCTGTGATCTCAGTCAGGGTCATGGCATTGGGTCCCGCGTCAGACTCCACATTCAATGCAGAGTCTGCTTGGGACTCCCTCTCCCTCTGCTCCTTCCCCCACCCCTGCACACACTCTCTCTCTCTAAAATAAATAAATAAATAAATCTTAAAAAGAATAAAGTTTACGTTAATTTCTTCACTGAAACTCAAAGCAAACTGAGTATTAAATATTTCTTTATAAGTAAAGTCAAGAAGTCATCTCAACACAGAAAAAGTAACAAAAGTACTTAAGTTTATTCTGATCAAAGCTGGTTCAATTTACCACTAAATTTTTAATCCATATTAATGACATATATTTATAGAAATGGCATTTAATATTATTTCCAATATGTTATATATTCTGACCGATATTCCAAAAATAAGTTAGTAGGAGAACAGGTTAGAGAATTGGGAGTCTTGGAAGATATCATTATTCTTTTTCTTACTAACTCAAGAACTTAAATATTAAAGTAGCTGATTCTATTAGCATGATAAAAACTGAATGAAATGGCACTTTTAAAGTGAAAAACATGGGTCACCTTAGCATTTGATTCTAAATGCAGCAGCTCAGAGCTTTTAATTTTTAACACAAACTGGTATACAAGGAAATACAAGTAGGCAAAAATGATCTGTTTCAATTTAAAACTTTAAAAACTAGAACAAATTTTCCCAAAATGTCCATATGATCAATCAGCCAATAAGATAATAGACAACCTTCTATGTGCTTTGCCTGTAGGGCTTTAAAGCAGCAGCATATATTTGGCTTTTGCCCTCAAAGAATTTCTCTTCTGTCCCCAACAGAACACTAACACATATGAAGTACAATAAATATAATAAGACATTGAAAGTGCTACAAAAGTGGAGGAAAAAAACATACATAACAAATAAAATTCAGAGAAACATATAGAAAAGACATTAATTTAAGTTTGTCTTTAAATGGTAGATATAACTTAGAGAGAGAGAAAAAGGAATAGAAGAATTTCAGGAGGAAAGAGCCAAGTGAACAAAGATATGATATTAAAAATAGATGTATTATGGGATACATCAAAGAAAGGGGATACTTGATAAAGTGTGAATTCAATACAAGAGAGATGTAGACAAAACCCAGGCTTTGGGAGATCACATTGGTGGATAATTTAAATTCCGATCCCATGTATGCTAACTGACCTTGGGCAAATTACATGACTTCTATAAATTTGAGTTTCTTCATATACAAAAAGGAAATAGAAATACCTACCTTACAGGGTAGTTTTAAAGATTTAAAGCTACTAATACTTGTAAAGTCCCTAACCCAGTGCCTACCTGGCACAAGACTCACACACAGTAAATAGGAATTCCCCCCTCCTCTACGTTGGAGAATAGTGGAAAATGAGGTTGCTTAGGTAGGGAAGAATTAGATTCCCGGCACTCCCTAAAAATTAGGGACTCAGGACAGATGAAAGAGAATTGACGATGAAGGTAATTTTAAAGAAATAAACTGGAACATCAGAAAAATGAAGGCTTAGAATCAATGTGTTTGGCTAAACATCTGTAATCTCAGCATATAGAAACCTGAACCAGAACATAAAAGTGCAGAAAATAAAGAAGGCTGTATCTTGGAAAAGAATGACCAAGTTTTGGAACACTGACTGAATATGAAATATGAAAGAAGAATGAATCAAAGATAAGATTTTTCAACCTAGATAACAGGGAGAAAGGTAGCACAAGACTAAAACAATAAGAAACAGAAAAAAAACATGATTCTACATTATCTAAACATATCTTACAGCATTAATCATAAGACTACTATAAGTATAGTTGTCAACCTAACTCATCAGTACATGTACAGGCAGAACTGGGGGGCAGTATGAGCTTAAAAGACAGGTACCAGGCAAGAAAATGCAAAACCATCATGATTTTTAAAAGTATCTTCTATTAAGTCTGCAAATTGAGAATTCCTCATCATTTATGGGAGGAGGAGAAAAGGAAGACAAAGAGGAAACAGTAAGCACTACAATGCCTACAGGACTGAAGAAGATACTTACATGTGCTCAAGATGGGGTACTTCAGATCCCTTTCCTTCCTTCATTGCCTCCTACTCCCCATCTAGTAGTAAAACATCATTTTTTTCCTAAACAAACCTATAGCTCAAGGGCTTATGATCAGGTTAAAGAATATGAAGAACCAATGAAAAACGGGAAGGCCAGCAAATCTTTTGGAACTAGACCTTAAAAAATTAATTTTAAGTCTAAGTACCATAACAATTTTATCCATTTTACATCCAAGCAAAACAAATTCCAAATAAAGAGTTACTCCTCATTTCCCACAGGCATCATGGGAACAGGATTTTGTAACACAATAGAGAACATCATTCTGAAGACTTCTAACGCTTGCAGCCAACTGTTTCTTTAACCACAAACTGCAGGAGTGCCCTGTGGTCCTCTAACTCCACGAACATCAGAGTGTGGACCACTTATCTTTCATTAATCTGGAAAGCAAAATTATTTTTCCAAAAATCTTCTAATAGTCTTATTGAACATTACAATTTACAATTTTAAAGGCTGTCAATGTTCTACAAAATTGGATCTATGTATACACACTAATTATCACATTCAGCTTATTTCAGTTAATGTATCTTCACGTCCTGAGTGTTGTTTACATTTTTTAAATCTGCATTTTTGTTGTATGTTTTATTATGTCTCCCAAGTAACAAAAATGGTTCAATGATTTACTGAAGGATTAAAAGTAGGAATGAAAACAGAACTGTAAATACTACTACTTATAAAAACAGCATGAATTTTTAAATGAACAGAACTCTAATACAGTGACTATAGAACATAAATCTGTATGTGTCAGGATAAGTATGATATCACATAAGCAGCTGAAAAGGAAAATTTTAAGCAGAAAATTAAGATAGTGAGCATTTAAAATTTTGATTTATTGAGTCAATCTATTTGTTCCTAGCTGCCTGCTATGAAACATGGTCAGACCAATGGCCTGAAGACACCATAGTTTTTGTTTCACTTTCAAAGCACAATGACTTGTATGAGTCTTTCCAGAACAAGCACCACATAATGCTTTTTCCAGAACAAAAGTGATGAATTTTGTTGCTAAAGAAAGAGCCAAAAAATACAGAGGACTTAGGAATTTGCACTCCTTATGGGGAAACAGGCACAAGTCAAACAACTGCCAAGTGACTTATTATACCAGCCATGAGGTTAAATACAAATATCACAATCACAAACAAAAACAGAACAAGCTATTGGCAAAACACCTTTATCAGATGCACTGGGGGATTCAATGTAAAAGAATAATTACCACTGTGCACATGCTAGCCAATATTTCACTTCAGGGCTGGGCAAAACCAGTGATGTGTGGAGTTTGAATCAATAAGAGGAAGAAATACACAATAAAATTTTACTGGTTTATCACTAAAAATGAATGAGAAGAAATTTTTCTATTCAGTTAATTTTTTTTGAGCCATGATGTAGACTTACAGAAAGGTACACTGGAATCAGCAACATCAATGTATCATGAATAAAGGAGAACAACATCTACACAGAGGTTTATTCCCAGGCAACAGATATTGGTGAACAGTATGTCTCTTGATCTTAATTCAGTATTAAAAGTAGTAAAAATTATAAATATGATTAAATCAAAGCCATGGCCTATTCATCCTTCTTTAAAAACAGCTTTACTGAGATATAATTCACATATTTCATATATCACATAAAATTCACCCATTTCAAATGAGAAGCAAATACCTCCTTTTGATGCATACAACTCTGCAAAGAAATAGGAAATATAAGACTATCTTTCCACTCTGAAGCATGTTGGGACAGATGCAAGTCTATGAAATGGAAAATGATTTCTTAAAACATTTCTTAAAACACTAATAGTGCATTAAAGATTATCTATACGATTTCTAGCAGCTTTCATAGCATACCTCAGCAAAACACACAGTATCTTGAATAGCCTGAACCTACCCTTTCAGGGCCAATATGTCACATGGAAAAGATGTGTTTTTAATGTTAAGGAAAAGATAAGAATTAAGATCAAAATGTGGTCCAGGAAGTTTGTCCCTATTGGGTCTTTTAATGAGTAAATTCAAGTATTTATATTTATTTATTAAGTGAAATGTCTATTTTTTTTTTTTACATTATTTCAAAGGCTTCCTTGCATCTTCCTTGACTTTGTAACTTTTGCTTATATGGACCAGGTTTAATTTTTTTTCTTCAACTGATTTAAAATTCATAGAATGAAAAGTCTTGTATATAAATTGTTCTCTTTAAATTAAAAAAAAATCACACTTGGAACTATATATCTTGTTATCAATATGAACCAACCTATTTCCTTCCTAATTTTTGTATTCAAAAACAGGAATTTCACTTTAGACAAATTCTTCATGTGAGTCAGTTTCTCTTTAATAAGCATTTACAATCACTGTTTAGAGTTAATCCTGCACTGAACTAGCTTCAATGCTTGCCACTGGTGCTTTCCAATTGTTGTGCTCTTTATTTAGATTTGCCTTTTAACTGGCAGGAGCATATCTCAGAAAAGTTTGCAGAAAGGATAATGGCAGTATGCCTCCTTAGCCCTTGCATGTCTGGAAATGTGTTTCTTTAGCCTTCACAAAAATGACACCTTGGCTACATATGGAACTCTTGGTCGTAGCATTTCAATTCTGGCATTTAAAATAGCCTGTTTTCCCGTGTGTGTGTGTGTGTGTGTGTGTGTGTGTGTGTTCAATTCTGGCATTTAAAGTAGACTGTTTTCCCGTGTGTGTGTGTGGTGTGTGTTCAATTCTGGCATTTAAAGTAGACTGTTTTCCTGTGTGTGTGTGTCTGTGTTGTGTGTACAGTATTATTTTCTTGTCTCTCATTCTTAAAATTAAAAACTTTTTTAAAAGTTTTCCCAAAAAAAGTCTTTAAAAAAGGCTTAAGTTCTAAAATTAAAAACTTTTTAAAAGTTTTCCCAAAAAAGTCTTTAAAAAAGGCTTAAGTTCTTTCAAGTTCAGATTTGAGTACTTTACTTAGCTTAGGAAAATTTCAATATTATATTAATATAATTATTATATTATAATAATATCAATATTATCTTTAATGACTGCCTCAATTCTGCTTGTTGTAGGGACACTAATTATGCCTCTGTTGGATTTCAGTTCTGTGTTCCAATCTGTATCATGTTGATTTTGTTGGCCAAATATATCTCAAATTTTCCTTCGTACAACTGACTCAATTTTCTTCAGTGTATAGTCTATTCTTTAGCCTAATGAAATTTTTAATTCTGCTATGATTTTATTTCCCCAATTTTTTTATTTCACCCATTTCCCTCCCTTTCAATTTCTCTTGGCCACTTTTTCATCTCAGTCTACCACCTCACCTTATTATATAACATTATTAATCTCCTTGACTTTTTCACTATGTTCTAGCCCCTGGTTCTCATTAAGGCAAAAAAACAGGTGATGTCTACAATCAACTTCTTTTTCCTGTAATAAATCTTTTAAAAGTATGCTTTCACTTTGAACACTAAGTACAATGTTCTTTTCCTTTCGTTGTACACAAACTGCTTCAGTTGACATGAGATCAACTAAAATCCAGTGTTTGCTCACACAGAGATGGACTGGATGCTTCTTTACTGTCCACCAAGTTGCTGTGTAATACTAGCTCCCAGATTTTATGCTAAGGCTTAGCTGATGTAAACTTACATTATCACCTTGGTGATTTAGGAGTAGGAAAGTTTGTCTTAGCAAAATTTCTCTTTTGTGTTTGAAAAAAGTAGCCACATAACAGAAAAGCTTTCTATAGCCATCTTTTTGTCTCGTCTCCCTCAATACTGGAATTTCTCATCATGTTGTTCCTTTACTGTGTCAGGGAGAACACCCACCATACCATGTGCTTTCTGCCTAGTTTAGTCACTGCCTGGTTCCTACTTTTAAAATCTGTTATACCATACAGTAAAATAGATTCCAAATGGTTTACTGCCCATCTGTTCCAAGCCCTGCCCTCATCTATTCTTCACTTATCAATGTAATTATCCGAGGATCTACTCTATTTCCCATGACGTTGATTATTTTTCTGCAAGTGGGAATTCCAAATACCATACCAGGTTTTCTGAGTGACCCATCAATAGTATATCCAGCAGAAGTTCTTCGAAGTTCCTGGGTCTGGGATAACATTCTTGTACAGGGTCAGGGCCAAGTCAACTATTTCCTTTCATAATTACCTGGTCATTTTGGCAGCATTCAGTGGGGGCAGTAAGAAGGGCAATCAAGTATCTGTGCTCAAGTTCCCACATTACATGAAATTTATTTTGGTGCAAATTTGAGTAGTTTTCCTTTATTAATTTTCCAGTACCCTTTGGGTCATTGGGAGAAATTCTCTCTGGTGAAGATAGTGGTCAATTCTATTACTGTCTAAACCAGTAGATCATTACATTTATACTTGTAAACCAGAAGAATCTGTGATAATGAATGCTGCAGAAGGAAAAAGGAAATAAATTAAAAACTAGAGGGTTTAACACAAGATGATTTAACCAGTATACCACTGCCTGGAAATATCTTTTAAGCAGTATTTGTGCACAGCTCTCGTGTAATAATTGACATTTGTGATGATGGGCCTAAGGCATTACAAAATCCTAACAAAAATGTTATAACTAATATAGTTTATGTGTTAAGAGTGCAATTTAGTATACTCTAATTCTTTGAAAACTGGTAACCGAAGCATGACAGGTATAGCACTCTACTAAGCCAAACATCTGCTAGAACAATATCTCTTCCTAACACATCAACTGCCAGCTTAACAGGTAAGCAAATAAATTACTATTCATTTCCCATACATACAGCATCTCCTAGAGTACATTCCAGGCTTAGTCTGTTATTTTCCTGAACAGCACACACACCAAAAGAAACTGATTGGTCTTAAAAATTATCTATTTGATTTCATTATTAATGATACTCATTTAATAGAGGCACAAGGTATCATGTAAATAAGTTAAAGAAACTAACAAATGCCATAAACTATTTTACATCAAAGCTGAAAAGGAGGAGCGCCTGGGTAGCTCACTAGCTTAAGCATCTGCCTTCGGCTCAGGTCATGATCCCAAGGTCCTGGGATCAAGCCCTGCATCAGGCTCCCTGCTCAGCAATGAGTCTGCTTCTCCCTCTCCCTCTGCCCCTCTCCCCTGCTCATGCTCTCCCTCTCAAATACATACATAAAATCTTTAAAAAAAAAAAAAGTTGAAAAGGAAACGTTTCCCTCCAAAGTCTTTCTTTTTGAAGCAAAACTGTGAGTATTTTTAACAGGAGACCTCGGACCGTACAAATACTGATTTTTTTACTTGAAATAATTTAATCCTGTTGTTCTACTTTCCTGATCTCTCCCTCATTTGTAAAAAGGCAGATGAATTGAAACCTCACAAAATAACTGCTTTGAATGGCCAAAGCTAACAAAATAATAAATATATCAATCTTTTCCTAGTGGATGAAAAACAGAACCTCTTATTAAAAGCACAAAGATGTATGAATTAATCCAAGACAAAATGCTCCTAAGAATAGTGGTGTCATGGATTCAGATGCACTGTCATTTTAAAAATGCATAAATTCACTGAAATACAAAGCAAAATAATTTGATTTACTTAACTGTACCTGCTCATCTCTTTGCCTCCACTCTTGCCAATTTTCTTCTCGTGAATCCTTCTGCACTGGGTTTGGTAATGAAAGCTCATGTTGAGCATTACAAATGGCATGGGAGGATTTCTGGGGAATTTTCTTAAAAGCAAGATTCCTGAGCTATGAAACAAACAAAAAGCATATTAAATTCAGTCTACCAATCCTGGAATACTAATGATTTTTTAAAAAATGAGTAATATTTTTATACTTCTAAATACTATTCCATTCATTATGCTCTCAGAATCACTGTGTTTTTCTTAATCTTTGTAAAATATTAATTTCATCAGTATTTAGATAATGTTGGTGGGTCTTTAACAATTTAGTAAGTGAAAAGGGATTGTATTCTATTATACCATCATTTTAATGATTCCAGTTACTTAAGTGATGAAGTTTATAGGAGTAGAAAATAGGATAACAAGTGTGCTTTTGACTATGTTGTACACCCGAAATTAATATGACACTGTATGGTGAGCATAGCATAATGGATAAACTTGTCGAATCACTATATTGTACACCTGAAATTAACATAACATTGTGTGTCAATCACCCTCAAATAAAAGAAAAAAATTTTTAATGGGGATAATAATACAATTTACCTTACCAATAACCTTTACAGGATTGTTGTGAGGAATGAGTCAATAGAGGCAGAGTACTTAAAAAGTGCTCTTCTTATAATTAACATTATAAATTTAAGATAAATATATATGATGTTTGTCAACTATACTTAATTTTTTAAAAAAGCAAAATGATGGGATTCAAAGATTAAAGTTTAATGGCTTACAAATTTAAAAGTTTAAATATAAGTGAGAGAAAGTAGCTTAAACAACTCTAGCAACTACTTCGCTAGTCCTTAAAAATACAGGACCTAGTCCACAAAGTAACATGATGAGCTAAAACTGGACTGGCCAAACCACTCCCAACATCATCATTATCTGAGATGCAGTAGCTGAAACAAGAGAGAAAAAGAGTGAGAGGTTATTATGGATTGAATTGTAATCCCCCAAAAGATATGTCATAGGCCTGAAACCCTCGGGTGTCTGTGAATGTGACCTTATTTGGAAAATAAGATCTCAAAGATGTAATCAAGATACCTTGTGACACGGTTACACTGAATGAGAGTGGGCCCTAATCCAATACAACTGTTGTCCCTGTAAGAAGAGGTGAAGACAGAGATACACAAAGAACAACCAAGTAACAGCAGAGGCGAAGACTGAAGTGACACAGCCACGGGCCAAGGAATGCCAAGGACTGACATCCACGAGGAGCTAGGAAGAGGCTGGGAAGGGTTCCACACAGTCTCACAGAGAGCCTGGCCCTTGCACACTCCTTGGTTTGGACTTCTGCTTATAGTGGGACAGCAGACACAAATGGTTATAATTGTTACCTCGTTTGCTTCACTCTGTTGCTGTTCCTTCTTTTTTCTTCTTTTTTCTCTCTTTTTCTCATTCGTAGTTGATTTGCTTGCTTGAGACTTTCCAGTATTCCGACCTTTGCCTTTTCCAGGCTCAGAATCAGATCCACTGCCACTATCTACTTGCAATAGGGCAAAACGAGAAGCAGTAGTGGGAACAGAACTAAGTACTGCTGAGGCCATTGTAAAGATTTCTATTTTAAAATACTTCTATCAAGAATAATTCCTGTGGGGAGGGAGAAGAGGGGGCAGATGAGTAAACATAATCAGTAAAATCTGTTCTAGATTCTAGAACAATCTTTCACACACACACACACACGCACACACACACTTCCTCCTGACATTGAATTTAGTCATATTTGGACTCATATCCACAGTCCTACTAGCAATAACATTCTTTTTTAACTTGAATAAACAATATAAAATTGTATAATATAAAATAGAAAAAAGTAGATTGAGATTTCACAAAGACTACCACCAATAAAATGTATTCATTTTTCCATATACGGTTTTCAAAAATTCACGATTTTCTTCTTCTAAATATACTGCTATAATATATACATATTTACAGAGAACACCCTAAATCAATATGCAGTGGTAGGAGTATTTTTCACTGCATACAGAGACCCTTAGTCCAACTCCATGTTAGTCTCCAACTTTCAAGATGGGGAAAAAAGGAGTAGAAAAGGAAGAACACTGTTATCATATACAAAATACTGCCTTAAGTTTGATTCTGGGGACTGCTACTCAGTCACAGAACTGACAGAAGAGAGAACTTAAATTTCCTCAACCAAAGGAAACTTATCAAAATCACCTTCCACATTATCTTCCGCTTCACTAGTTTCAGTGTACCCCTGAGAGAACTTTCAGACTTAGGGTATGAAAGGTCCTACAGTAATATCTAACCCAATTCATTAATCATTTAGTTTTACAGAGGAGGCAACTGGGGCTTGGACTGGGTAAGTGACTTGCCTAAGGTCATTCTGCAAGTTAGTGGCAGAGTCACGACCTGAACCTAGGTTTGCTGAACCCTGCTCTCCAAATTCAAAGTAAAAAGAAGCCCTGTAACTACTAGAAGACTTGGTACTCTTCCCATTCAAAAAGAAACAGATTGTGAAACTCAGAAATTTGTTCATTTTTATTTTGAAATGTATCAAGTACACAACCGAATAAAAAATGTTTGTAAATAAATGAACACTCCAAGTAACGAGCACTAAGATTAAGAGAATTTTAACCCACCCTGTGCCTCTCCTCAACAGCATCCCAACTCCCCCTGGCCAGAGATAACTATTATCCTGATTTTTGTGTTAATCATCTGCTTTTCTTTATAGTCTTAACATATCTATCTCAAGCCACAGTACCCCATCTGAACTAGCTACTATCACTTCCAAAATATCCTCTTGTTTATACAGATTCCCCCCCATCAATGTGATATGGGACTATGCAAAAGTACAAATACTAGAAGTGAGAATCAATGAGGTCCATTTTGAAAGCTAATCACACACTACAGTTTGTATGTTTTTAGGAGCAAATAAAAATGAAAAGCAATCTTCCATTTTAACCTAAAAATCCAGAAAATTATTTGGAAATCTTTGAATTTTCTGTTAAAAATAAAGAAAAATCAAAGCAAGAGCAGCTGATATTTGAAGATAGCACCTAGTAGTTATTAAATAAAAGTATTTTATTGTAAATACCGCATTAAGACCTATTGCTCCTATGCTCAAAAATATGTAAATCAAGATAAAATACCATGACATATAGAAATGACATCATACTGCTAAATTATGACATATTTTTAGGCTTAAATCTTTGCTGCAAGCGTAAGTTACTACAAGGGAGAAGAAATTACAAAATGAAAAAAAGTTCAAGACTCAAAAACAGGGGCACCTGGGTGGCTCAGTCGTTAAGTGTCTGCCTTCGGCTCAGGTCCTGATCCAGGAGTCCTGGGATCGAGCCCCGCATCAGGCTCCCTGTTTGGCGGGAAGCCTGCTTCTCCCTCTCCCACTCCCCCTGCTTGTGTTCCCTCTCTCGCTCTTGCTGTCTCTCTTTCAAATAAATAGACAAAATATTACTTAAAAAAAAAAGACTCAAAAACAGTATGGAAAGCATTAATTCTACTTCAACTTCAACATGCCATGTTAAAAATCCTTTAAGTTTTAGTTGCTTTGAGTACTTTAGGTACAATGATCCTACACAGTTGTTCAACAACTATTATTACATTTCATTTTAACTGTTGGGACTATAAATTGCATGGGTTAGCCATTGACAAATATTCACTGACCCTCCCTGAAGGGGAGTTATGCACCACTCTCCTACTGAATGGAGGCATGACCATGTGAGTTATTTTGGCCAGTGAAATATAAGCTTCACAAAGCTTTAAAAGCCAGAACGTGGTTCCTGCTTCTGTGATTGAGGTGTATGTTGAGATGAAGTCTCCATCGGTCAGGTCTGATGGGTCTGAAACTACATTGAATAAAGTCTCTTACTAAAACTGTAATGGATACGTAGCTTGAGCAAGAAAGCAACTTTGCTGCTTTAAGCTGCAGAGATTTTCAGGTTGTTGTTACAGTATAACCTAGCCTTATCATGACTGATACCTTACACAAATAAATTTCTTTTCCATTCTAGGACTGATAGCAAAACCATGAATGTCACATTCAGACTGTTCTGCTTGAGTTAAATGTTCACAAAAGTCCCAACACATCTCCACAAAGCTCATAGAAAATTTTCTTTCTGTGGCACAGGGCAGAGCTTCCTTACCAACGTATCCTCAAATACAGTTTCCCTGAATCCTTAGGGCACCTAAGAAAACTCTGGAGAATTCAGAGATGCTGGGCAGGCCACCACCAGATGCAAGCAGTCTCATCGGGTACTCCGCAAAGGGCAGTGCCTGCACATGCTGTTCTGCGGCTACCTGTCAACCGTGAAGAGGGAAGTACATAAGCCCCTGGAAATCTACTTCATCAGACCAGTGTAGAACACACTACTGCCCATCAGGGGATGCAGGCCCAGGGAACTGCTGGGACAGTTGATGCTCTAGGTACCCCAAATGCAGCACATGCAGTAAGGGAGCGGCAGCTGCTGTCCAGAGTGGGAATGCACGAAGTCTCCTAGTGACTGAGCTTCCAAGTAATGACCTGGAAGCTCTCCATTCACAGGTAGCAGATACTTCCTCCCACTTGCCAGTGCTATGCCTTTTTAACTGCATAAAGTTCAGCTGCAAGGTGACTGCTCAAACAATGCATATGCTTTCTGAAAGTAAGAGCTTTGTCATTTTAAACACTCGAAGTTAGAAAGTCCAATCGACTCTGAACTCCTTTCATCACAACAAACTCTTTACTACAAAAAAATAAGAAATTCCTTACTACATTTTATACGAGAAAAGCTTTGAGATTCTTTAAAAATAATTTCAACTTATAAATTACTGAATAGTTATTAAAAATGGTTTTTTCATTTTCATTCAAACAAAATTTCAATGGGAACTCAATTTGAAGAAAGCCTCATCTAAAAGTCTGGAATCAGGAACTGTATATTCTTATGTTCATGGAAGCAAGCACAATTTTCTCATGAGAAACGCTGAAAAGATTTTGAAGTTTTATACAAATTCAGCATTTAATATCTTTCCTAATACTTTATATTTTGTTTTACTTATCCTAATCATATAAAGAAAATGTAACACATTTTTCCAACCCGCTCTATACAGATGCTGAGGATCCCTTCCCAGTTAGGGGGCAATGAGATGCTCTGGTCTTTTATGTTTGTAATGCAGAAATCAAATGGCAGAAAGGCACTGGCCTACCATGCCAACCTGGAACAAGAATGCCTAGTCAAACCTGGTCAACCTGCTGCTTGCTGACAGCCCCTGAGCAATCCACCTGATCTCTGTTTCTTCACCTTTGAAATAGGGACAAGAGTGCATAGTTCACTGGGTTGTTGTAAAGATGAAATAATATATGTGATGTCTTAGAACAGTTGTCAGTACAGCAGAAGCACTCAAATACACACATCTGCTGCTGTTCTTACTATGATTACTAACTGAAGTATGTCTTGAGGTCCTGTGAGGCACAGGAGAACTGGCATAAGCTATTTAAAAATTTGGCTAAGCACGTCTGACTCCACTGCAAAAGTGGTTTGAGGCTTAAATCAACATCTAGCCCTTCTCAAAGTTAAAACTTCAATCTATGAAACAAGAGGAAAAAGTTTTTAGGCCCTAAGAGGTAGTGGTCGAGGAGTCAGCCACTGAAGAGAGTCAAACACCTGAAGATTATACCTAACAAACTGCAGAGGCAAACTCCAATCTCCCTGAAACCCAAGAATCACAGAAGGGACTATGTTTGAAACAGTGGGCACAGCAGACAATAAACAATTCCTGAATGAATGAAAAGAAATAATAAAAGACAGAATGATAAAGTGAAAAGAAAGCATTAGAACAAATAGTGTTAACTGAGAAACCGTGAAAAACAAAAACCATTTTTCTGAGGAGGCAGCTATCTATAAAACACCTCAGCAACCCGTGTGTTAAAATACTTTAACTCAAGAAAGGGCAGAGGGAAATGCTCACCTATAATGATCCCTTATTTGGTCTGGGGCAGGAGTATAACATAGAACAGAATAGTGGCCGCCCCTTCACTATACATAGCAGCTGAGGGGGTAACGAAATGGGACAACTGGAAGAGCTTCATCATCTGTGCTATATGCTGTACTTTAAAAGAGGCGGCGAATGCCTGGGTGACTCAGTAGGTTAAGTGTCCAACTTGGTTTTGGCTCAGGTCATGATCTCATGGGTCCTGGGATGGCTCCATGCTCAGCATGGAGTATTTTCAAGATTCATTCCTTCTGCCCCCCCCACACACACACACTTGCATGCATGTACACGCTCACGTGCCCTCTCTAAAATAAATAAAAATCTTTTTTAAAAAATGTATTAGCTAACACATCATCTACCTTAACAGCCAAGAGAGAAATCTATGCAGCATGTCAAAAGGTACACTAACCAGTACTTCAGAAGTGGAGGGGTGCGGGAAATGTAAATTTTAACTGAAAGAAGGAAATAAAAATATAAAAATAATCCCAAATTTGTAAATATATGTATTGCTTCCATACATACCAAAAAGAAGGAAATGCACAGGACTACATATTATGCTTATTTCCTTTCCTATAGTTTTAACTCTTTCCCCCAATATTCTATAATGACCATATTTCTTCTATAAGGAAAAAAAATCATTT